ACTTCAAGACACCTCATGTCACCACAGAGGCACACACAACAAGAGACTGACGGAGTCTGGGATACCACCCACAGCTCCTGACCCAGATCACTAACATCACCAGCAGCCATTTTTTGATCTCTGTTACGGCTCTCACCAAACCACATCTACAGCAAGGTCTTCCACAGACATTAGTCTCTGTAAAGCAGATAGCTCGACCCCAGTGGTCTTTATTATAAAATCTGTTCGCCTAGCATGTAACCTAATGCTCTTTACTTAACCATGTCCCAATCGCGTACAGCCTTGTAGCCTATCATATCTTACCCAAGCAATTTCTATGTATGTTATCTGACATAGCAGGCAACGTCTACCCTAAGTTACCACTTAATTTAATCAAGTAGTGGCATTGCATCTTCAGGTCCAGAGGATCCTTAGTGTTAGCACCTATACTGTGAGTCTTCGATATACTCATTAAGGCACTAGCCATCAACTCACCCCCCACAGTGCCTTTAATACTGTTAAACAAGCCTGTTCTCTGTGGGCTCAGAACCATAATTTAATTTTAAGATCAGTACAGACCCAGCAAATAACGCAGCCTTGCTATAATACGCACCGCATAGGCAAAACGCATTTCAGCTCAACATGCGACCCCATAATGCCTCAATATTACCAGCTTGTTTATGCTAACCGAAACAAACGACTGACTTATTTCTTAGCTGTTATGTTGACCCCGCTCTTTCGAAATCTACATCAATCTATAAAATGTGCAATGTTATACTATGCCACACAAATGTCTCCACTATGTTAAACATGATACTAGCAAATGCTGTTGTGGCATGGCTTGTTGCTTTGTTTTTTTTTCCTGCACGAAAAAAATAAAGAATTAATAAATAAATAAATGTTTGTATAATTAATATCCCAAGTTAGCTATTTGTATTACCTCCCTAAGATTCATAAATCTCTAGTTAAATCTCCTGGGAGGCCGATAGTCAGTGGCATCGAAAATCTGATGGCCAATCTAATATTTGTCAAAATCCTACATCAAAGGCACTTATCATATATTAGCTATATATTAACACCCAGCACTCCCAAGCAACCAAGTCCTGCAGAATATTCTGAGCAGAGGTATCATCTCTGGAAGATTGCCCACCCACCCCTCCCCACATCATCCCACCCCATGGTCATTACCTTACTTATAGATAGTGCAAATCAGCTGGTTTCCTAAACACACCAATCAAGTCACTAAACCTCTCCTCACTTGAAATCCTCTGTTAACATACTGCATCATTACAATGGTTTAAACACTCATTGATATTTGTGTGTGTGTGTGTGTGTGTGTGTATATATGATCTACTTATTTATATAATACACATTTTCTCTAATGTTCTCACTTCTATTTTTCACTTTAACACTAACTTACTAATTACACTAATTACTAAAATATCCCTATCCTTTCGCTCACCTGTCCCTGGCAACACCATCGTCATTACTTCCACCTTACTCCCCTCCCCTCTCTATTCATCCCATGCACTCCACACATACCTTTCCAGCCTATCTCCACCAACTCCTCCAAAATCCTGTACATACATACCCTCCTACAAAACTTTCAAATCCTACTCCCACCTTCACTTCCTTTCTATCCTTCTGCTCCTAGCAGCTGGTGATGTCTCTCCAAACCCCGGTCCCCTCTCGGCAAACTCACCACATACTAACCCAAGGATCCACACTAATCTCATACCCATCTCATGTTCCTCTAAATCCTCCTTCAATACTGCCCTCTGGAACGCACGCTCTGTTTGCAATATTACTAAATCCACTGCTGTCCATGACTTCTTCATCTCTCGTTCAATAGATTTACTAGCCTTAACAGAAACCTGGCTCTCCCCCTCTGTCACTGCTACCCCTGCATCTTTGTTCTTCAGTGGTCTCCAACTTACCACAACCCAAGAAACTCTGACTGTAAAGGTGGTGGTGTTGGGTTTCTCCTCTCCCCTCACTGTTCCTTTAAATCTCTACCCACCCCTCTTCCCTCTCTTTCCCATAATTTGAAATTTATTAAATTCGCCTTTTTAAACCCTTCTCTGGTAACATTGCTGTTATTTATCGTCCCTCTGGATCCCTTCTTCTCTTCCTTGACCACTTTGCTGCCTGGCTACCATATTTCCTCTCTTCTAACATTCCATCCCTAATTCTCGGGGACTTCAATATTCCTATTAACCCACCTTTGAACTCTGCAGCCTCTAAACTACTTTCAATTACTTCCTCCCTCGGGCTATCACAGTGGGCTAATTCTCCCACCCATGTAGCTGGCAATACCCTTGACCTAATCTTCACTGATGCATATACAGTATCTAATATCTGCAACACTCCATTTCCTCTCTCTGATCACCACCTCTTATCATTTGCTCTCGTGTACCCCCTCACCCAACAACCTCAGCCTAACCCCCCTCAGCTCAGGAGGGACCTTAATTCTCTTGATCTCCAGCATTTGTAAGCTGATATTGATTCACAACTGCTGTCCATCCCTTCCCTCTCCTGTCCTTCACTGGCCATCTCCACATATAACTCTACCCTCACATCTGCCTTGAACGCTGCAGCACTGCTCCAAACAAGCACCTCGAGGAGGACCCGCCCCCAACCATGGTATACTAAATCAACACGCTACCTGCAAAGATGCTCCCGTTGTGCTGAACGCTCCTGGAGGAAGTCTCGCACCTAGTCAGGCTTTCTCCATTATAGATTCATATTGTGTTCATACAGTGCAGCCCTTGCCCTTGCCAAACAGTCCTACTTTTCCTCTCTCATTAGTTCATGCTCCCGTAATCCCAGGCGTCTCTTTGACACCTTTAATTCTCTTCTTTGCCCTGCTGTGGCCACCCCCCAAACTAACCTTACTGCTGATAACTTTGCATGTTACTTTACTGACAAGATTGAACAGCTAAGGAAAGAATTCTCCCCTCCTTGCCATTCTGTTTCTCAACCACACATAGACCATGCCTTTCCTACCCTTCAGACATTCTCCCCGGCAACTGACCAAGAGGTGGCTGCTCTTCTTTGCTCCTCTTGCCCCACCACTCGATCCTGTCCCATCTCACCTTATTAGATCTCTCTCCACTTGTCTTGTGCCTTCTTTAACACACATCTTCAACTGCTCTCTCTCTTCTGGCATTGTCCCTGCTGACCTTAAACATGCCACTGTAGTACCTATACTAAAAAAAACATCCCTCAACCCGTCCACCCCCTCTAACTATCGTCCCATATCCCTGCTCCCTTTTTCCTCAAAGCTTTTGGAAAGACTTATCTTTACCCATGTGTCTCATTTCCTCAATTCCAACTCTCTCCTTGACCCCCTTCAATCTGGCTTCTGCCCTCTCCACTCTACTGAGACTGCTCTTATCAAAGTTACGAACGACCTAATCGCAGCTAAATCCAAAGGCCACTCCTCCATACTAATTCTTCTTGACCTCTCAGTGGCCTTTGACACCGTTGATCATGCTCTCCTTCTTCAAACTCTTCAATCGCTTGGTCTCTGTGACTCTGTCCTCTCGTGGTTTTCCTCTTATCTCTCCCAACGTTCATTCAGTGTCTCTTTTTCTAATGATACCTCCTCCCCTCGTCCTGTCTCGGTTGGAGTCCCCCAAGGCTCTGTCCTTGGTCCCCTTCTATTTTCTCTTTATACTGCCTCTCTTATTACCTCTTTTGAATTCCACTACCACCTGTACGCTGATGACACCCAGTTATATCTCTCCTCCCCGGACCTCTCCCCTGCCGTCCTGCAACGTGTCACTGCTTGCCTTTCTTCCATCTCTGACTGGATGTCCTCCCGCTTTCTGAAACTCAATCTCTCTAAAACTGAGCTGCTTGTATTTCCTCCTCCTAATATTGATCCTCCTCTTTCGCTCTCATACTTGATTCTGGCCTCACCTTTGAGCCTCACATGCAGCATGTTGCCAAATCCTGTAGATTCCATCTTAAAAACATAGCCTGCATCCGCCCCTTTCTTGCAGCAGATACTACCAAGGAGCTTGTCCATGCTCTAGTAATTTCCCGCATGGATTATTGTAACCCTCTACTGATTGGTCTTCCCAAAAGCCGTACTGCACCGCTACAGTGCGTAATGAACGCTGCTGCCAGACTGATTTTCCTCTCTAGTCGTTTCTCTCACACCTCACCCCTCTGCCAGTCCTTACATTGGCTTCCTGTATGTTATAGGAGTCAATTCAAGGTACTAATTCACACCTATAAAGCACTGAACACCTCCTGTCCGTTGTCCGCACCCGTACGGCCAACTCACGCTTGCAGGACTTCTCGTGGGTCGGCTCCCTTCCTATGGAATAGCCTGCCTACCGCCATCAGACTTGCATCTTTTAAGAAATGCCTTAAAACCTATCTCTTTAGGAAAGCTTATGGCCTCCAAGACTAACCTCTACCTCACATACCTGTCTTTTGCTCTCTCCTAAAGGGCAGCCCACGTTATTTGACTGCAAATTCCTGTCCTAATGTGTTTTACACCCCACCTCTTATAGAATGTAAGCTCGATTGAGCAGGGTCCTCTTCAACCTATCGTTCCTGTAAGTTTTTTGTAATTGTCCTATTTATAGTTAAATCCCCTCTCATAATATTGTAAAGCGCTACGGAATCTGTTGGCGCTATATAAATGGCAATAATAATAATAATAGCTATCCTTAAAGGCATACAATGGAAGGGCACTTATCTATGAATGACAGTAGACGTATCCTCCTTGTACATAAGTATTAACCGTCTGGACTTGGATCACCAACAAGTACGTTTTTTTTCTGTTCTGTTATTTTGGCAAATAATTAAAAAAAAAAATGATTTCCTTTTAGATTTCTGGGACCACCATGTGCATTATGTTTGCACCTAGCTATGCAAATCCTTTTTTTTAAAGCTATTTATTGCAGTATGGGAAGATAGCTATTTTTTGGTTGAGCATGGCTGGACTGCAAATCTGGTGACCTGGAAGATCTACATTTCTTATTTATTTTCATATTTCTTTATTTCTAAGTGTGGTCGCATGTGCGGATTTTGAGTGGCTGCAACAAATCACGGCAGCCATTTTGTTGTGTCTTTGGCCTACTGTGGAACATCATGGATTCTATTTGTCGTTTGATCTTGCTGTGCGCTGAATCTGTGGACCTTTGTACATGAACTATTTGTGGATCTGTGGTGTGATTGCCATGCCGTTTTTGACACTGAACATTGCCGAGTTTGTATTTGCACATACCTATTGGTTGCCGGATATGATCACGGTAGTCATTCTGTTGGTTGTCTGATTTGATGCAAGTCCGGATGGGAGCCATAGGAGCTAATTTAGTGTTTGTAGGATCTTTTTAAAGCAGACTCTTTGAATTTCATTACTCAACTCTTCTTGAGAAAGTAAGAATGACGAAACCGGTTTGAGACATTTATTTAAGAGCCCATTTAGCTTGCACACTATTTACCTGCTGACTGCACTTTTGCACTTCTGCACTTTCTGGAATTTGGTTTGGTGCTGTCTTTGGTAGCATATATGTCTGTAAGTGCAATTCATAGTGTGTCATATTGATTTTATTTATACTGCTGCACTATGTGTGTTGTTTCTATGTTTTATCACTATTCATGACTGTTCCTTGCATCATGAATTCAATGTGAATACTACGGTCTACCTCTTTGAAAAGTGTAAAGCAATTTTTGTTTGCTATGTGTTTCACTTGCACAATATAATAGTCTCACACTCTATATCCACACATTTCTGTTTTACTAAAATTAACAATGTCATTCCCCCCGGCCTTCAAACATGGGCAAAGGGCGGCCTTGTCCAGCCCAAAAAGGTGACGGGCCATCACGTAACATGCAGCCAAGCCATTTCTGATTATCATAGTCAAAGAGACAGGCTTTGTATTCCTGACCCTATAATGTTAGGCTGTTTAGCCCCACGTCCCTGTCTTCTCCCCCTTAAAGGACCACTCTAGGCACCCAGACCACTTCAGCTTAATGAAGTGGTCTGGGTGCCAGGTCCTTCTAGGGTTAACCCATTTTTTTTATAAACATAGCAGTTTCAGAGAAACTGCTATGTTTATTAATGGGTTAAGCCTTCCCCCAAAGCCTCTAGTGGCTGTCTCATTGACTATGCGACCGGCTGAATGCCGGCTGAATTTCCTCTCCACCATCTATTAGTAAGATTTAGTCCCCACCTGATGGCCCCAGGTGGGAGTGTGGGAAGACCGGTGCCTGATGTCTCTACAGTAATGCTTGCAAATATGGCTGCAAAAGCTGTAATACCAGTGAGCAGTCACTACCATGGTCTGGGACGGCATTATCTGGACAGTGAGTCTGGTGACACTAGGAATAAAAGACCCGGCAGTTTTTCGCCACAGATTTTCAAAAAATATGGTACGTAAATCATAATGGTGAACCAAATTGGAGCAAAAATTTCCCAATTTGGTGTACTGCAAAATGTATGTATAATCTAAATACTATGTATATATTTTTTAGCGCACTGCTAAGTAGACATGTGCAATTCGTTTCGGTCCGAATTAAAATTAGGCCGAATTTTGGGTAATTGGGACATTTGGGTGCTTCCAAATGTCCGAAGTGCCGAAGTCCCGAAATTACCGAATTTCCGAAGTGTAGTAGTGCCGAATTACTGAAGTGCCGAAGTTCCGAAGTTGCAGAAGTTCCGAGGTGTCAAAGTGCCGAAGTTCCTAAGCACAGTATTGCCTAAGTACTAATATACTTACCCAGTGAAAGAAGAAGAATGTTACACTGTATACAATTTCAAATAAAAAGTATACAAACATAGACAGGATTCAGCTGTAAGCATTTGCAACACTTACTACTCATATAAAATGTAAGTTACTTAGCCAGTCGTGTAATGACAAGAATGAATAAGTAGATAACTCCCTAATTCCCACGGTATTAGGGAGCTATCTACTAAAAGGCTGAAAGACCTAAATTGGTCTTTCAGCCAAATTTACTAATACTGAGTAAAGATTAAATGCCCCTACTCGCTATACTCCGAGTAGGGGCATGTCTATTAAACAGTGAGCAGCCTGTGGCTGCTCACTGTTCAAAAAAAAAGAAAAGGTCCTCCCTCCCGCGACGCAGCAGGTGGGGGCCCTAAAGTAAAAAAAGGGGGGAGGACCTATTGTCCTCCCCACCGGCCACCACCCCTGAGCGGTGGGTGGGGGCCTTAAACAAAGATTGGGGGGGGACCTAATATCCTCCTCCCAGGCCCCCACCCCTGAGCGGTGGGTGGGGGCCCTAAATACAAATTGGTGGGGGACCTAATGTCCTCCCCCTGGCCCCCACCCCTGAGCGGTGGGTGGGAGCCCTAAACTAGAATAATGAGGGGGGACCTAATGTCCTCCCCCCTGGCCCCCACCCCTGAGCGGTGGGTGGGGGCCCTAAATACAAATTGGGGGGGACCTAATATCCTCCCCCCAGGCCCCCACCCCTGAGCGGTGGGTGGGGGCCCTAAACAAAAATAAGGGGGGGACCTAATGTCCTCCCCCCAGCCCCCACCCCTTAGTGGTGGGTGGATGCCCTAAATACAAATTGAGGGGGGACCTAATATCCTCCCCCCTGAGCGGTGGGTGGGGGCCCTAAACTAGAATAAGGGGGGCCTAATGTCTTCCCCCCGGCCCCCACCCCTGAGCGGCGGCCCTAAATACATTTTTAACCCCCCTCCCCCCAGGTGACTAGGTGTCCTCAAACCCCTAGTCACGCCCCTCCCAAAAAATTAAACTCCTACCTACCCCGCTCACCCTAAAAATAATGAGGGGGAACCTTTAAAGGACCACTATAGTGCCAGGAAAACATACTCATTTTCCTGGCACTATAGTGCCCTGAGGGTGCCCCCATCCTCAGGGACCCCCTCCCGCCGGCTCTGGAAGGGGGAAAGGGGTTTAAACTTACCCTTTTCCAGAGCTGGGCGGAGAGCTCTCCTCCTCCGATCCTCCTCTTCTCCTCCCCGTCGGCTGAATGCGCATGCATTCTGCGTGCTGCTCGCGCATTCAGCCGGTCACATAGGAAAGCATTCATAATGCTTTCCTATGGACGCTGGCGTGCTCTCACTGTGAAAATCACAGTGAGAAGCACGCAAGCGCCTCTAGTGGCTGTCAATGAGACAGCCACTAGAGGAAATAGGGGAAGGCTTAACCCATTCATAAACATAGCAGTTTCTCTGAAACTGCTATGTTTATGAAAAAATGGGTTAACCCTAGCTGGACCAGGCACCCAGACCACTTCATTAAGCTGAAGTGGTCTGGGTGCCTAGAGTGGTCCTTTAACTAAATACCTGTAAAAATAAAAATAAACTTACCATTTGATGTTTTCTTTCTTCTAAAATCTTCTTTTTTCAGCCCCAAAAAGGGCCAAATAAAAATCCATAATAACCGACGCAATAAAAAAAAAATGAATCCATCTTCACCCGGGAGAGACTGAGACTGAGCTCTGCAGGGTAAAGCCTTCCCCCGCCCTGCAATTAGGCTCAGAGCACTCTAGGTTTAAGCTATCCAATCAGAGTGCTCTGACAGGTAAATGAAGGGACTGACAGGTAAGTCTCTACATTTACCTGTCACAGCACTCTGATTGGTTGGTTTGAAATCCACCAATCAGAGTGCTCTGTGTCATTTTACACAGCGTGGAAAAGTTCTTTGGAATTTTCCCACGCTGTGTAATTTGACTCATAACACTCTGATTGGTTACTTAATCCACCTATTTTCTTGTCTCCTGAACTTTTTTTTCCAGATTAACCCCGGCTTCTGACCTTGGCTCCACTCTCCGTTTATCCTGACCTCTGGCTTCCTCTGACATTGGGTTACCCCTGACTATCCTTCTACTTGTGACCTTGTCTATACTGCATATTGGAGCACATTTCCTGCACAGCCCCCGTGCACAGATTCACAGTCCAGGTGTCTTCTTACCTGCTCACCTTGGACCGTGTTTATCTGCAAGGGTGATCGAACATATATGCGCTACAAATACAAAAAGAAAAGTCCTGTGCTCACTCCCATCACTCCTGGGCGGCAGCAGCAACCACAGTACACATAAGCTCCAATACGTATAGTAAAAACCAAAGGAAAGAAAAAGCTCTCTCCTTAATCCCTATATATATTTAAACAAATGGAGGTCTTTTAGTTACTCCAATGGCCACTGGAGGGAATGCCCGCCTGCCAACATCAAGGCAGACCCCCCTAGACGGATCCTACTCTGACCCTTCACCTTGCTTCCTTTAGCTTCTGGCAAAGATATCTGTAAGATATCCCTCCAGTGGCCATTGGAGTAACTAAATGCTCATGTCTGAGCTGTAAATCTCTATAGCACTGAACTAGAGCTATTTTAACATGATAATAATGGAAACATACAATTACATACCTGGGGTGGGGGAGGGGCTGCCCCAGGCGTCTGATTGCTCACGGCTCGCGCCCGCCTATTTCATCATTTTGACGAAATAGGGGGCATAGCTTCACGAGGCTCCCGGCGCTGGAATCAGGTGAGTAAAAAGGGCTGCCTGGAGAGTCCCTTTAATGTGATCTAAGCAATTAGAGGTCAAACAAAATTGATACCCCTTTGGCTCATCACTTTTGCACTAAGTGAATGCCCCAAACTATTGCCTCTATAAGTGATTCTGATGGTAAACTTGTCACCTCCCCTAAAGATATTATAAATATAATTACTCAATTCTAATATTTACAAATATTCCCCTTCACACAGATTTCTTAAGCATTCCCATTGTTCATGAAGATGCATTCTTACCTCCTCCCAGTTGATGCAGATGACATAGATTCAAATATTGGTCTTTGTTATATTCAGAGGAAGCCCAAATTATTATTACAAGTGCACTTGGAGGAGCATGAATTAGACACCAGACACCTGTTGGTATTCAAAATAAGCCTCTGACCTTTATTTGTCAGTTGTGTTTTTATACATTAAAAAGTAAGTGCTTACGTGCAAATACTCATTGGACAGTAGTAGGAAGGGAGTTAAAGGGTTTAAGGAGTACAGATAAGACATAGAGATGAACGTCATGTACATATAACAAATAAGTTCCAAGAAAGAACAGAATGATTTGAGAAGATACAGCTCAGGTGGGGGGTATCTGCTCCTGGAACTAGACATATATGGTCTTAAGTGTCGTTTTAAGAATCAAGCATTTCCTGAGTCCAAGTTCGCCAATTTTAATATAGGATATATAATATGACACCTATAAGCTTGAACCTTGGAATAAAAGTAAATTCTATCACACAGAGAAGGTGTTTGATAGAATAAAATGGCTTTCCTCTTCTCTTTCTAGGGCCACCTACGCAGTACATTACCA